TTTTGCGGAGATAAAAGAAATGTTTCAACAAAGTTTTGAGGATCAAGTGAAAATGCAAATTAATAAAATAAATGGAAAAATTGAACAAGTTAAAGCTGAAACGGATAAAAAACTTGTTGATGTATGTAGTCTGTCTACGAAAATACAGAAAGAAATGATGGAATCAAGGAAAGAAATAAAAAATGTTCTACAAAATCTTTCTACAGTGACCAAAGAAATGATGAAATCAAGGAAAGAAATAAAAGACATTCAACAAAATCTTTCTACAGTGACCAAAGAAATGAAAGAATCAAGGAAAGAAATAAAACATATTCAACAAAATCTTTCGACAGTGACCAAAGAAATGACGGAATCAAGGAAAGAAATCAAAGATGTTCAACAAAATCTTTCTACAGTGACCAAAGAAATGACGGAATCAAGGAAAGAAATGAAAGATGTTCAACAAAATCTTTCTACAGTGACCAAAGAAATGACGGAATCAAGGAAAGAAATGAAAGATGTTCAACAAAATCTTTCTACAGTGACCAAAGAAATGGGAGAAATGAAAGCCACAATGTTTCAAATGCTGGAAAAAATGAACATAAATGAACAACATGTTCAAACATTGACATCATCAATTGAACTGGTGATGAACTCAGTAAAATGTGATATTTTGATTGCTGGAGGTTACCAAAACAGGAGTGTTGAAATATTTTCATGGAAGGAGGAGAAATGGTTTAACATTGCATCAATGGAAAATGAACACAAGTATGCTTCATCATTTATTTATAATGATAATTTATTTGTTGTTGGAGGGAATGAATGCAAGTCAATTGAGACATTGAATCTTAACAAGTTTCCTTTGGCATGGAAGACATTTCCCGCTAAGCTTCCTTATCGATGTTGGCATCATCAAACTGTTGTTTATAAACAACAAATCTTTCACATTGGAGGATATGATTATGATAAACATACAACATTGGATCAAATTAGTGAAATAAAGATTAGAGGTAAAACATCTTATGTTTTGAAAAAGTTGTGTCGAATGCCTGAACCCTGGAGCTGTGACTATGGAGCTGAAGTTGTTGATGATAAAGTTCTTATTTATGGAGGATATGGAAAAGATTGGGAAGTTTTCTCTTCAGTTTTGCAGTTTGATCCAAGGACTTTTACATTTAAGGAAATGCCTCCATTACCTCATCCATTGTGTGGAATGGCAACTGTTCGATGGAGAGATCAAGTTGTTCTTTTTGGAGGCTATGATCATAGCAAAATATCAAACAGTGTTATCATGTATGACACTAAGACAGGTAAGATTACAGTCTTACCATCCATGTTAGAAAAGAGATTTAAGTGTTGTGCAGTTATAACAGATGATACAATTGTTGTCATGGGAGGTCTGAATGATAATCGTGAATATCTTAAAACGGTGGAGTGTTTTAGAATGGGTAGCAGTTATTCATGGATATATCTTCCTTCAATGAAGGAACCACGATGTGGAGCCATTGCTGAAATTTTACCTTCTGGAGAGAAGTATTTATAAGCAAGAAAATGTTTTTTAAATAATCAGAACATTATAACTCAATAAAACTTGTTTATATTAAGTAAAACAAAAAATGCTTAAAGTTAAATATGGAAACCTCCAATGTCCATATAACCTTTGATTACTACCACAAACTTCTGATGAAAGAAATGACTTTAATATTTTACTAATGACTGAGGAAAAAGAAAATTTATAGCTATATTTTCCTTTCAAAAACTTCTGTGTGTGGATTTGTCTTGTGGTTTTGTAAAGGCTTTGTTCATCAAAATCAAAATCACTGCCAAGTTTACATAGCATATTTTTTAAAACAATTTTCATTTCCCTAACATGAGGTGTGACAAATAAATGATTTGATGAAAACTTAAAAAAGGTAATAAAAATGTCTATGGTCTTCAAAGCGCAAAAATCTTTATATCCTAAAGTTGTCAACAAATTAGATCAATACATGCCAACAACATTTGGCTGATCTCTGTACTATATTATATTAACATCAAAAGAAGTTATGACGCATGCGCACAAGAAATGCCAATCACACAACCTGTTCACATTACATAAGAACTTGAGTTATCAGATATATTTACTGATATGTTACTTTAACTGTTACTTTAAGTTCTGCTTAAGAATTTCATCCAGTGACGTCACTGGGTGTGTTTGAGAATGAAAAAATCTGTGCGAAAATGTGTCACAAGGTTTTTTCAATGGAAATATAATTTATGTATGCAGCAAAATATTTGTTTCATAAATATTTTAAGACCTACTTGCAAACCACCTTTGGGATTATCCATTCAGTAGTAAATCCAGCACTTTATTAGTAAATACAGCACTTGCTCATTATAGATTATTTCCAACATACTGAAGGTTACTCTACTTGTTCATTATAGATTTTCTACATACTGAAGGTTACTTTACTTGTTTATTATAGATTTCCAACATACTGAAGGTTACTTTACTTGTTCATTATAGTTTTCCAACATACTGAAGATTGCTTTATAACGGTGTAAAAAATACACTAACATAAAGACATGGATATTTTAAATGTTTCTTTTTTAGTTATTGAACGAAACTTTAAAATGACACCTACTAAATCGTACAACAAGTACCGTGGTCAGAAAAACGTCAAACGTTTTGGTTTTGAGTCACGTTTCGATCACGTTCAATTAATGCTTCGGTAGATTTAGTCACGTTTTTAACAAACTTTAGTCATGTTTTCAGCACGCTTTACTGAAATTTTTGTCGAGAGTTACTAATCAGGAAACGACTTGGGTATGATGGAATGAAAATTTTGTTTCTTCATACATATTGTGTTTTTTCTTTCTCCCGATTTTTTTGTAATACTTTTGAGTTTTGAACAATTCATCACAAGTGATTGGTTTAATATCTCTCAAATATTAATATTAAACGATTCACTAAAATGAATCTAACATGGGAAAGAATTTATTACTTATACCTACGGTTGGTATCGAAGAGAAACAAACAGAAAAAAGTAAAAATAGGTACGTACGCGTACACGAGGGTAGAATGTCGAGTATAAAATGAAGTAGTTGGGTCATGAATGAACATTGTCCAAATAATATTAAATATTTAATATTATTTACATTAAACTTATGCGAGATTTAAAGTAAGTGATTTGTACTTCGTGTTCAATCAATGACCCAATAACTGTCCAACACTTTCTAATTTGCTTGAAACATTGTTTTGATTTTATGTCACGACCGTTTTGCTATATCTTCCACTACTTTTCTGTCGAAACTGTTTTCCGACATGTATGAAATGTCGTTCTCTCAACCAATAAATAAATGCGCTAGCAAGATCTTTATGGGATCAAGGTAAGATCTAGGAAAGATCATAAAGAATTTTTGTGATATTTTTGCAAGTTCTTGCATGGCATTAAAAATATCGTGAGAAGATCATGAAAATATTTTGTACGATCATCCATTATCTGGCAATTTTTGCATGGTCTTAGATAGACTGATCTTGTAAAGCTAGATCATGAAAATATCTTGTAAGGTCATGGCAAGGTCATGCAAAAAATCTTACGAACTATGCAAGATCTATCAAGTTCTTGCTTGATCTTAGAAGGATCTTGGTAGGATCTTGGAAAGATAATGAAAAATTCTTGTAACAATAAACAATAACGAACAATATGTCAGCTAAGTCAAAACCACTGAACTATAATAGTGAAAAGAGACAAGTAAAAAAATATGCACAAAATCGTGTGTAATCTTAAAAGAACGATTGTTTTCCATGACGCCACGCAACACTAGATGTTGTTGACTTCAAGGTTACGTCATTGTTCTTATTCACCACCCGGCAATGCCTGACATTATGTATACATAGTTTGTCTTCGTCCATAGAACATGAGTTGTCTAATAATGATATAGCTTGACATGAAACCAAAGCTAATGCCGTTCTTCATCTTTGCAATGATGGTATCATGGTTACAAAGTATAGGTCGAAGTAAATTATGTATTGCGCGCTCGAGGCAATAGACGGTAAAAATTTCCAACTTTCTACACAACCATCAATAGCTGCACTACCAGATCACCCTAAATTATAGACCCTTACATTGTTATACGTCTTTTCGTTACCAGCTCACCCCCATAAAATTTTTTACAAGCACCTCGTAAAAAATATAAAATCCGTCTGAGATAGATACTAAAGTCGACAAAAAAAGGTCGACATAAAGGCGTAATATCGTTGATCCTTTTTGTAACATTTTGCCCTATTTGTATCCTGCTGAAATCCTTTTCGTAACCCTTTTTGATCCCTTTGAAATCTATCTTCTCCTATTTGTAACGTCTGGTCCTTTTTGTAACATTGATAGATAGGTAGACAGAAAAAAGTATAGGCATTTTTGTAACCTTAATGGGAAAATTTCGTAACGAAAGCAGGCATTTTCGTAACATTTGAGGCATTTTGTAACGTTTGTCGGGCATTCGTTTAACGATCGTAGGGCACTTTTGTAACCAATGTAGGAATTTCTGTACCGTCAGCGGACATTTATGTAACGTCATTGTGCATTTCGTAACGTAAGGATTACGTAAATTTTCGGGCATTTTGGTACCTGGCATCTGTTGAGTTGAGAGGTTACAAAATTGTTTACATCCATCATTGCTTACCATCGTTATTTTGGAATATTTGGTGCATTTAATATTAAATAGTGAGGACACATAACATGAGCAGAAAAGGAAAATTTTATAGATGAGGTAAGGGAATTTTTCTACGAATCTTGTCTACCTGATAATTTTAAGCAATTAAACGATTTCATTTTGCAATATATGACATGTGCACTTAAGTCGCTCACTGGTCAATTGCGGTGAGTTAGATCGATAGATATAAACGTAGACATAAAGATAGACGTAAAGGTAAACATAACGCAGGTACACACCACCCTGATATCATTTCGTGTATTCACCTCCCCTCCCGTAAGATGGTATTGATAGGAACTAAAGCGAGTAAACAAAGACAGGTTTGCAAGTTTATGTTGAAAAGACAGGTATATCCCACCCTACTTTATTTTGCGTATAACAATTAACCTCCCCTCCTGGAACATGGGTTCGATACGAACAAATCCAGGGGGTTCGATCATCACGCCTCTTATGATACATGATATAACACTTTAAAATGTCAGTACAATAGTAGAAATGTTATGGTCTTCGATGGTTATGTTGCAGAGACACTTGGAAAAGCAGGCATCGCCTCAAGATTTGGAATGTCAAATAGATCACAGACGCCTTCGGAGCTTGTCAGATTGAAGGTATAGTCAGCATCTCCGGCTGGTGGGGAGAGTCGAAGAAGAGGAGCCAAAACTATCAATAAAAAAGTTGTATACATGGAAAATGTTAGTGTATATAATGTTCTAGACTAACTAAAAACCTGTATGAGAGCAAATAGAAACCTGTATGAGGGCAAAGGGAAACCTGTATGAAGGCAAATAGAAACCTATATGAGGGCAAAGGGAAACCTGTATGAGGGTAAATGGAAACCTATGAGACAAATGGAAACCTATGAGGACCCATGAGAGACAAAGGAAACCTATGAGAACAAATGGAACCATGAGGCAAATGGAAACCATGAGACAAAGGAAACCTATGAGGACAAATGGAAACCTGAGAGAATGGAATATGAGGGAACAAATGGAAAAGGAGAAGAGACAAATGGAGACAAATGAGACCATGGAAATGAGACAAATGAGAAAATGGACAAGGAAACCTGTATGAGGCAAATGGAGACCTGTAAGGGCAAATGGAAACCTGTATGAGACAAATGGAAACCTGTATGAGGGCAAATGGAGAACCTGTATGAGGGCAAATGGAGACCTGTATGAGGGCAAATGGAAACCTGTATGAGGGCAAATGGAAACCTGTATGAGGGCAAATGGAAACCTGTATGAGGGCAAATGGAGACCTGTATGAGGGCAAATGGAAACCTGTATGAGGGCAAATGGAGACCTGTATCCCTGTGGATGTATCCCTTACTAAGTGGCTCAGTGAGGTGGAAAGTCTAAAAGTCAGGAATATTGTGGCCAAAATGGATTTATGTGACCCCTTACTTTCTAAGGATAAAACATGATAAAATAATAAGATAACATAAATTTTTGACTGTACCTTCAGCTGAAACTAAGTCGTCGATCATTGACACATCTATTGGTTCTGTTCAATGAAACAAATACAAAACATTAAAACAAATGTCCTCGAGAGTGAAATTAACCTTACGTTTGTTTATACCCACCTGGTTTGGCCTCATTTGAAAATATGATCTCATTTGCCACTTGTTTTAATTCACACTCTAAACATAAAATACCTGTACCATTGATTGATTGAATAACAAAAATGTTCAACTTTATGCTAGTGGAGTTGTGACCTTCAACTTTATGCAGGGGGGTTGTGACCATCAACTTCATGCAGGGGGGTTGTGACCATCAACTTCATGCAGGGATGTTGCCTTCAACACCAGGGGTTGGTTGCACAAAGCCTGGATAGCATTATCCACTGGATAGCAAATTTTGCTGAACGCTCATAAAACCTCTTACAGGAGATAAGTATACAATTTGAACTGTGCAATCACTGAAATAAAATATCGTTTCAAAGATTACAAAATTACTTTGTTGTAAGAAAAATATAAACACCTTTTTAACAAGTTTGAAAATTTTTGCTATCCAAGTTTCGTGCAACCGGCCCCAGGGTGTTTACATTTACCTCCATGCAAGGGGTTAACGATGAACAAATATATAAAAAATGTGTAAAAAATTTATTCAGATATATGTTTGTGAGAACTGAACAGTTAATTGATTTGAATAACAGCAGCATACAATAATGGACGGGGGGAGTTGGCAACTTTAAGCAAGGCGGTTAAAAGAACAAAAGAACCCATGCTTGTGTTGTATGGCATCAACTTTAATTGAAATAAATTAAACACTTCACCTGAAAGAGATGTTTCCATAGCAATAGACTGTTTCGTTTTTCCAAAATCTAAAGGTTTTTCGGCAACTGTAGTGATCTTCTCATTAACAATAGGTAACAGGTTGTCATCATTTGGAAATGTAGATGATTGTGGTAAGGATAAGGGTGGGGGTACAGGTGTGACCACTGGACGGTTGTTCAGGGGATCTTTATTGACCAGTAAGACATTTATTTCACCCAACTGACTTTTTAAATGAATTTGATAACGTCTGTCAATGCCCAATCTCTGTAAGGGACAAAAATGTTCATCAAAAAAGACAATACAAAACAAATGCAAGCAATTCACCTTTACACCTTCACTCTGCAAAGCTACCTTTTCTGGGATTGGGACCTCCAACTCGGTTCCGGCAGGAGCTTGGATTGCAAGAAGTGTATCACCACGGAAACACTGACATAGGTCATCATATGTTACATATGCCAGCTTCTCGTTATCAAAATCTTCGGAGACGATTTTCAGACTCTGTTGAATCCAAGATTTGTGTTCATCAAGAACCCTCTCTTCCTCATCCAAAGCTGCAAGTTCTTGCTTCAAATCGACAAGACGTTCTGATATTTCACGCGTGTTACAGCCAGGACCTGCTCCCCTGTTGAAAGAAGTTTAGGCAATGAATATAAAAGGCTGGTTAATGATTGGTGCATAAAGCTTTCCGGTGTAAGTTTGGGCCGGAGAATCTTGCTGCAAATATTCTTCATTTGACGTTGTACTGTAGGGCAAATAACCTACAAAATTCAAATCCTTTCAATTTATTTGGAAATACCTACTTCCATTGAATGCTGTTTTTCGATTTCTTCTCGATGAGGCCAATTCCCTCTAGCACATTTGTAATGTCGTAGATTCTTCTCTTCTGTCGTACAGCAAGTGTGTCGGCAGCCTGAACAAATATACGTTTTAAATAAACGTTACAACATTCCATGATTTCGACAACGAACAGCCAGGGGATACATGATGAAATTCAACACAGAATCTTTCCAATCCAACGAACGCTAAATCAATACTAACCATTTTTAAATCAAGAACGCCATCCTTGGCTTCTTGCAAAAGGTTTACGAATTTCGTTGTTAATAAACCAAGTGATTTCTCGTGCCGTCCGCTTGGCGTTCCTGGTGAACTAGTGAAATCGGCCATTTTGTTTGGAGAAAACGAACAAAAATCTTCGAGTGATTTTATTGGTCCTTTTTTTCACTTTCAAATATACCGCTCGTTTTTATTGGTTTTTAATGATGACACAAATACTTTTGAGGGGGGAGTACCAAAGTCTTCGTTTTGACAATCATCTTTCATGCCGTTATCATTGAGTGTGTCGACTATGTAGGGTATCAACTATGTTGGGTGGCTACTATGTAGTGTCTTCCGAATAGGATATTGACAGGGGGTATTAACTAAACAGGGCGTCTACTAAGTACAGTGATTACTAAATAGGATATTTACTAAGTAATTGTCTTACAATTTTTGTACACAATTACACATGTAATGATTACACAATTACACATGTAATGATTACAGGAGCATAGACAAGCATAGACAGTGTTCAAGAAGTAATTCCGAATACACAAGGACTTAAGCTGATGAGCTTTGACAGCTTTTGAGCATTGTCAAACTATAAAACCATTGTTCAAAAGCAACACAGATCAGCCGAAGAAAGAAAATTAGCTACATTTATTTCAAAACTTCCAGACCAATCAACTCAGACCAATCAATTCAGACCAATCAACTCAGACCAATCAATTCAGACAAATCAATTCAGACAAATCAATTCAGACCAATCAATTCAGACAAATCAATTCAGACAAATCAATTCAGACAAATCAATTCAGACAAATCAATTCAGACAAATCAATTCAGACAAATCAATTCAGACAAATCAATTCAGACAAATCAATTCAGACAAATCAATTCAGACCAATTAATCATTGAAATATTCAAAATCTAACTACGACTATGAGCTGGACGTTCAATAAATATTAAAAAATTGCATTTTAAACTTTACAAGCACGACACGATATAAAATACGTTATTTTTCCCCATTGACGTTACATTGACTTCGTCTTCTTTTGTTTCTCCCCACGATTCCTGAAAATGGAAGCACAGAGGAATTTTAAGAACTGGGAATTCATCGTAAAATTGAGGAATAAAAGAATTTACGAAATTTTAATATTAGTAAGGAAAAAATTATAGAAAAAGCTACCTATTATATTTTATTCTATAATATATATTACATATTATTCAGTCTCTTGATGTAAAAATTAGCCGGGGGGGGCTCTCCCGTTTCCAAACCCCCCATTAACAACAGTCGAATTGAAAACTGACTAAAAGAGAAATATTTAAAAGAGTAAAACATACTTCGCTGTCCTTTTTGCAAGCAGTGTCCTGAGTTGTATTTGTTTTTCACGGAATTCATTGTCCAACATTTTCATAGTTGATAGCTCCAAGGACTCTTCGGAATTATTAATGTGCGAGGCTTCTTGGCCTATTCTCGTCGTGATCTGTTGCATTTGGCTTCGTAGATCATGAATGTTAGTATAAACTTCTTCGTCTTCATCCTGGTGATGGAGATCAATGGAGTAATCAGCTTTTTCAAAAGCAAAAAAATGTGTCTACCTTTATGTCTACCTTTATGTCTACCTTTATGTCTACCTTTATGTCTATCTTTATGTTTATCTTTGTGTCTACCTTTATGTGTACTTTTATGTCTACCGTTATGTCTACCTTTGTGTCTACCTTTGTGTCTATCTTTGTGTCTACCTTTATGTCTACCTTTATGTCTATCTTTGTGTCTATCTTTGTGTTTACCTTTATGTCTACTTTTATGTCTACCTTCATGCCTACCTTTACAACTACCTAAGGGTTTGCCTTCATATGTCTACCTTGATGTCTTCCTTTTTGTCTATGTTGTCTATCTTTATGTCTATTTTGAGGGTACATTGATGTCTAACTTTGTGTCTGCCTTTGTGTACACATTTCTGTCTAACTTTGTATCTAACTTTTCTGTACGTTTGTCTTCAAATTTAAGTCTACCTTTTGTCTACTTTTTGAAAGTGGTTCTAGTGTCACCAACCACAGAAAGAGACAGTATGATTTATTGCCATCAACAAAAAGAAGTTATATGGTGTATTATCATAAATCATACATATTGTCATCAACCACAGGAAAGTAGAATCCTACCATGAACATATCCAAATGGATCAATAACGCGCTCATCTCCAAGTCTTCATTATAAGCATTTTTCAATGGTACTGATCTGTAACCTTAACAAATATAAAAACAGAAACAGATAATCAAAATAGCTGTTTTCCGTCATACAGTGTCAAAACTTTGTCTATTTAAAAACTCACCCAATCGTAGGCTCCCAAGTGGAAACACGGCTTGGGCAACAAAGTTGGGATCACCGAACATGTCTTCGTCATAAACGGCGAATCGAATGTAAGCCAGGGGGGGACAAAGCACGTCGAACTCAGTGTGCATGTTGAAGACTGGGTTCAAACCGTTGACATCTAAAAATTTGGATGAAAACGGAGACAATGATTAACTTGCTATTACCTGACTACGTCACAACAACGTGATGTTGTTATCTATGATATTAAGCTATGAAAGAAACTAGAACTCTGTTTTAGTGCATTAAAATAGAAAAGATAGAAATCACGACATTGTGAATTTGAATAGGAGCGAAGATTTGATCAATACTCTTTGTTGGAGAAACATTAATATATATATACATAGGGTGTATCAAAAAAACTGAGCAACTGGGAAATCGTCGCTAAAGTCGTCAGCGCGCTAGATCTGCAAAAACCTTTTGTGGAAATAGGTGGTTATTCTCATATGACATTAAAAGTTGCGCAAAATAATGCGCAATTCGGATGCTTAGCGTTCGTGCACGGTTTGAGTAAATTTCGTGGGAGTTGATAAGCTTGAAAAAACATGTGCCATATTTTAACTCTGTTTGTTCCAATTGCTTATTAGCTTTGTTATTTACGTACGCAAGCTATTTCAAAATTGCTTCTCGGTAACACAATTCTCACTCTTAAAATGGGTAAATATCTGCAAAAATTTTACTGTCAGATGATCCACTGGAAGTCCAACAACATTCTTCCACCAAATTTTCTTGCTCTGCAATAATTTTACTGTCAGATGATCCAGTGGAAGTCCAACAACATTCTTCCACCGAATTTTCTTGCTCTGCAATAATTTTACGGTCAGATGATCTAGTGGAAGTCCAACAACATTCTTCCACCAAATGTTTTTGCAGATCTTGTGTGCTGATAACATTTACGGCGTTTTCCTATCTGTTCAGTTTTTTTTATACACCCTGTATGATAAAAACTTTTCCACATTACCTTGTGTTTTAGTTCTACATTTCTGTGTGTCATATTGAGCTCCAACGATTTCCACTTCGACGAACGGTGACGTGACACCTCGAGCTATCTTCGGTAAATGTCGACCAGAGATTATCTGAAAAAAAAACGCGCCCACGTTTAAAACGAAGTCGGTCAGCAAATTTCAATCGAGGATTTTTGGGCGGGAAAATGAGCACCTACCGTTAAACTAATGGTGACAGGTTTGACGCTTTTTAGTAAGCTTGTATTGTATGGATCGAAATTTTCTAAACTCATGCAGTCTGGCTTTAATACATAACCACATCTGTATGAAAAAAATATGATCAGCAAAGATCCCTCAATGTTCCCATTATGATATATACTATGCAAAACCGTACCCTCCGTTATCCATGAACCTTCCGTGATTTAGTTGCATAGGTCGATCTGAAAATCAAAATAACACAAACTTAAAGGTAGTAAGATGACAACAGTCTCCCGAGAGAGTCGAAAAAATTTTCAAAATAAAATTCTTATTTGCTCGTGGAAAAAATTTCCATAAACAAATGATCATTTGCAGCTTAATTAATGAACAATGTCTGCCGCTGTTCGAAAAAAAATATTGCGGGCACAAAACTGAGAAAAATGGCGGCAATTCTACTTAACAAAAAAATGATGTTTAGGATTAGAATTATGGAAAGGATTAAAATTTACGAAAACACGGCTAACCCTAATCATAACCCTAATGCTGGTAGTCAGTGGCGTATACCCAGCCTGGAAATTTGGTCCTGCTATGTTAATTTTTCTGTGTTCACTTACTGTACAAAGATGAGATTTCTAAAGAAATAATGCTAATGTCCAAAATTTACATAGCACGACCAAAACTTGCGGGCTGGCTACGGTACTGCTGGTCGTATTGTAGTAGTTATTGTATTGTAGTAGTAGTAGTAGCAGTTATTCTCATGCGTGCCCACAGTACTTTAAGTCAACGCAAAAACTACAGCGAAGCAAGATAATAGTACCATTGCAAAGTTAACGGAGGAGATGGTGAATTGCTGTAATCATTCATTAAATAAAATAAAACCTCGTTTACCAGAAGTTTGATAATTTAAGGCACACATTTGTACTCCACAATTCCACATCGTTGTTGGATCGTAATTCGTCGACTCGACGCGTGTTCCCTTCGGGTAGATACGAGTCAACTGATTTTCATTGTAGCGGTTGAGAAGAGCAGCGTTCTTCTGATTGATGTACTTGTCGACCTTCGACTCTGATATTGAAGACATTTCGTAGTGTTTACCCTTTCCCACTCCTGAAAAAAGAACCAATAAGAGTTAATCTTCTAGTTGGCATGACTGCAGTCGAAAGCGCATCAATAATAATCAAATACGACTGTTGCATCAAATACACACGAGCTAGGCCAGATTAGAGTCGTTAAACAAATGAGAATGTCCTAACTATACGTCTAGTCTCGGGTGAATTGAGTATTTCATCTGTAAGTATAAGAGAAGTTCCAACTTTAAAAATGACTAACACTGAATTAAAGAAAAAAATTATGAAAAAATGTAATTATAAATATTTCTTACAAAGCAATATTTTATAAATTAACTATAGCTTTATCATGTTTATAAACCTTTTTAAGCCGACAATTTATACAATTTATACAATATATTATATTTCATTATACTATACTATATTATATATTGAATTACATTACATAAAATTACTATTTGCGCACGAACCTTCAAAATCAAATGGTACAGTTTGACAATATATAACGAGATCTGACAACATTTTGTCAATTTTCTGTTCGGCCGTTGCCTTGGTATTTTGTTGTGCTTTCAAGCTTTCTGTTCGGTTCGGCGGATTTCCACACTTACTTATGCATTCAATCCACGCCTCCAATTCCTAAAAATTATCAAGATGTTAAAATACAGTTGCTTCACTCGTCTCCAGTTCCTTTTGTATCGGGTGCTGAACAAGTAAAGCGTATAAAATGACTGGTACCACAAAAGTCGCTCAACTGAATACAAAAATTTGATTTACAACTGTAAGCTAGAGTACGGGATTTCATCCCCAGACACCTAAGTAAGACACCTCTTGTCTATGCAAGAACAAGTATGTTTAACTAAAGAGAGCTTCCTAGGTGTATATATTTAGTTAAATGCTTGAAGGCACAAGTAGACACGTTGCAAACTTGCCTACGTCATATTTTTTTCAATTTTGGTATTTTACCTTAAAACTATTATTTTTCGTATTGGTGTAATCTGTATTTGATCCCCAGACACCTAAGACACCTCTTGTCTCAGCAAGAACAAGTATGTTTAACTAATGATAGCTTCCTAGAGGTATATTTAGTTAAATGCTTGAAGGCACAAGTAGACACGTTACAAACTTTTCTAAGTCGACATGACATTTTAGCGCGTATAATTGAAGTCAAGTCTAGCAGTGTTAGCTGTGCAATTAGCAAGTTGAGTTCAGAAGTGTTAGGAGGTCAAGTTCCGCAGTGTTAGCAAATCATGTTTAAAAGCGTTAGCAAGTCAAGTTCAGCAGTGTTAGTAAGTCAAATTCAGCAGCGCTAGCAAGTCAAGTTAAGCAGTGTTAGCAAGTCAAGTTAAGCAGTGTTAGCAAGTCAAGTTAAGCAGTGTTAGCAAGTCAAATTCAGCAGTGTTAGTAAGTCAAATTCAGCAGTGTTAGTAAGTCAAATTCAGCAGTGTTAGTAAGTCAAATTCAGCAGTGTTAGCAAGTCAAATTCAGCAGTGTTAGCAAATCAAATTCAGCAGTGTTAGCAAATCAAATTCAGCAGTGTTAGCAAGTCAAGTTAAGCAGTGTTAGCAAGTCAAATTCAGCAGTGTTAGTAAGTCAAATTCAGCAGTGTTAGTAAGTCAAATTCAGCAGTGTTAGCAAGTCAAATTCAGCAGTGTTAGTAAGTCAAATTCAGCAATGTTAGCAAATCAAATTCAGCAGTGTTAGCAAATCAAATTCAGCAGTGTTAGCAAGTCAAGTTAAGCAGTGTTAGCAAGTCAAATTCAGCAGTGTTAGCAAGTCAAGTTAAGCAGTGTTACAAGCAGTCTGTTACTTCTCCCATCCAAGTTTTTCAACAAAATTGTCGTTTATTATTTTAGAAAATTAATTTCATTCAATCTTTTTCCAGCACTGGCGACGCTAGCTAAACTTTTGCTTGCACTATATTTTTTGTGTTCATTTACCAGAAAAAAAATCAACGAATTTTTTTGTGTAAAAGAATGAATGTTGCCGAATATTTTGCATTGCAGGACTGAAAGTTCTGCGTTTGCTTGGCCACTGTTTTCGAGTAAACATTTCGGCCGACTTTACCTGTAATATTCAGTTATTTCGACCGACTTTACCAGTAATATTCAGTTATTTCTGCCGACTTTACCAGTAATATTCAGTTATTTCGGCCGACTTTACCAGTAATATTCAGTTATTTCGGCCGACTTTACCAGTAATATTCAGTTATTTCGGCCGACTTTACCAGTAATATTCAGTTATTTTGGCCGACTTTACCAGTAATATTCAGTTATTTCGGCCGACTTTACCAGTAATATTTAGTTATTTCGGCCGACTTTACCAGTAATATTCAGTTATTTCGGCCGACTTTACCAGTAATATTCAGTTATTTCGGCCTACTTTACCAGTAATATTCAGTTATTTTGGCCGACTTTACCAGTAATATTCAGTTATTTCAGCCGACTACCAGTAATATTCAGTTATTTTAGCCTACTTTACCAGTAATATTCAGTTATTTCGGCCTACTTTACCAGTAATATTCAGTTTGATAGATTTATTGAAAAAACCATCAATGTAAATGCAAAAATGAACAAACCTTGATTGACCTTGCCGCGACTTCCAACGGTTTCTGTCCGTTGGCTGTGATACGAGCTAACAAATAACCTCCGCGTGGAGGTACCAGCTCTATAGGAATAGAAAAAATAGTTTCTCACGTGGTTTTACTACATTCGTCACGTGATTTCGTTATGGTTGTCACGTGGTTTTCATCATGTAGAGAGTTTACCTATTTTGCATTTCGTGACATTCATTGATCCTTTCTGTGTCTCGCCAAGTGGACGATCGTTTTCCTAAGAAATCGAACAGTGGCAATCCACAACTACTTGCATTCATCCACAATAATTCATAAGCATCATCACCTACCTCATCGCCTCCATTGAACTCCCCTGTCGCGACATTGATCTCTTCGCAAAAATTGGCGGGAAAGAGCGCTTGCTTGTAGTCGGCAAAATCACCGCGCCACCTAAAATCAATTGCAATGAGAGAATAAATTAAGGATGGTCAAAACTGTGTTTGCACGGGCTTATGCAAGCCGAGGAGACTTTATGGAGGACTCGAGAGCGATTAGTGGAAACCCGAGGGTTATCACCTGCTAGAGATTTCTTCCAAACGTCTCCGAGGTTTGATAAACCAGTGCATACACGAAAAACATCTTTTGTTTCTTTTATAAAATAACAAAAATGCGAAACAGACAAATTTAAAACAAATGTTTCAACATTTCCTCAAACATGTATTCTCGACTGATTTGCAAATTCTCTTTTATCGATTGAATTCATTGAGCTCAGATCGGTTTACACAGCTTAATGCAAACTCGGCTACAGACCAATCAGTGGACGCGTTCTCTAGTTGTTATTTTATAATCATCGGTGGTTAATCGTGTTACACATGAAATGGACTAAATCTAATCTAAAGAGCATTGATTTCGACTACAATAATAGAACTTACCATCCCCTATCGCTCTTGACGACATTCGTGATAAACGCTCCCTTACAAAATGACATTTCGCCATCATCTGTCGCAGTGTAATCCCATAATGCACGGCAAACCGACTGAATGAAATGATCACATATTAATGCATCGCAGAACCTCATTCGACAATATGTATAATATATTAATACTAACACGGTTTAATATGAACTTGCACCTTCGGGATACTCGTCCGCCGCTCTACCTGTTGAGCTACCAAGCCCACAGGGATTGGAGACGAGTCAAATCTCTTTTTAAACTGCGTATGGACGAGAGATTCTCGCCACTATAACAGTTTATTGGATGACACCGTGTTTCGACTTTATTCCAAAGCCATCATCAGAGTATATGCATAATATATTAATCCTAACACGGTTTAATATGCACATGAAAAACATGTGACTTGGACGAGATTTGAACTCGCACCTTCGGGATACTAGTCCGCCGCTCTACCTATTGAGCTACCAACAGGTAGAGCGGCACTAGACTATGATATAGATGTTGTATGATATAGAATCCCTTAAGATTAGGAACGCCGTTTTAAAAGATGGCAAAAAGCAAAAACTGCAAATGAAAAAAAAGCAATTGCTTGCAATCCAAGAATAGATATCAAGAGAGAAAATAGACAACAAAGTATTTCACATTTTGCCCATGAGAAATACTTTCACGATACAAGAATAATACAGCAGGATTAAATTCCTACCATGATTTTTCGTGCTATTTTACCTTAGTTGCAAAAGTTGGATCTAGGTAGAGATCTTGATATATTTCACCGACGTAATCATAAGGAACCTTGTAAAGAAAACGGGAAAAAAAGTCGTACAATGTTTCCTTTTATCGATATTGAAGAATGAACGAAGCAAATCGACTTACGGTTTCAATTTCATCAAGTTTCTAAACAAAGAAAATAAGTAATGTTAGATTTAAAGTTAATGATTTGAACCGGGGAGTATCGTTAAATGTTTCTAGATATATACCAACTAAGTTGGTGCAGTCAAACTACTTGACTCGGAAGTTGCCTACCGCTAAGCTGACAATAAATTAAAAAAACTTTTCGTTGTAACCAACTACTGCAAAAAGACCAAGTTTTGGGAAGTAAAGATAATCTTCAAATGTATCACAAAATCACGTGGTTACCGCTTCGTTGATTGGATATCTTAGTTTGATATTTTTGTAAAGTGGACACTTGGTGTAGTAATCAACCAACTCAACCAGAGATTCGAACTGAGCTGTACCAATGGTATACAGTCTTCCTTCTTGAATAATACGACAATGTTTCACTTTACCTTTTGCTCTACAATAAACACACGCGATTTGTTTGGAACTCAATTTCAGGTTTGATAAATAGGTCCTATTGATGTAAGGGTAAATCGATACTTAGACAAATATCAGGAGAGAGAGAGAGATTAAGCTGTTTATATTTATTTCAACTTATCTTACATCGAGAGTGGATCTCCGATGTTTTTGCAGGGGGGTGGATGGGTGCAGTAGTTTGGATTAGATTACTTGTAGTAGTAGAATGTCAGACTTCGTTTGTTAAATTTTGTTACGTTTTTCTTATGATTGGGAGATTTTTGAAAGTATTCTCTATAAAACACTTTCTTTTGCTTAATATTTTGGTATTTCGTAGAAAAATTGGCACATCTCCTGCACCTCATCAAGCCAAAACCATTCTGAACCCCCCCTCCCCCCTCCCTAAGTATATCTCTGGGCTAGATTCGCTAATGCTTGACCATATTTAAACATGCGACGACAAAACAAAGTCATACTTGAAGGAGATGGCGAACGCTTCTTGACCGTCGCCCATGCTTTCTTTCTTGCGAACAAGAAACGAGCCGTCGTTCGGCGCGCGAATTAGCATATACTCCGCCTGGTCACGTGTTAATGACGTATGAAACCACCTGTAAGGCAATAAGATTTCTTCATGTAAGACATCGTTCCTAAAGACGTTGCATGTTCACAACACAGAAGTAAGATCTATATGACTGCTGACCATTTACTTACACTTTATCCAAATGTGCATTCGGCTGCAAAAAAAAAAGATAAAAAGGCAAAGATTATTGAGAACATCACATTCTGCCTAGCGCAATGCTGGTGACAATGGTCTGCCATGCGCATTGAACACAATAACAGTTTTTCAAGGCTCAAAATAACGACCTGTTAAAAGACAACGATCTGGCAAAAATGCCTATTGGCCGGTGAATTTTTTAATTGGTGTGATGATAGATTGGTTATCCTCTCGTTGTGTGTGAATGTTAGTGTTCTGTTCCTCGTGAGATTACTTAGTTTTTTCCGATGTGTGGTAATTGTCTTTTACCAAATATCTACAAAAGACAATTAAAACACATCGGAAAAAACTAAGGAATCTCACGAGGAACAGAACTCTACAATTTTTTAAATTGCCGGTCATTTGGACAGGTCACATTTCCAAGTCTTTGACAACAATTATCACTTAATCGTGTATTTTTCCTTTCAATTTTCTCATGAAATGTTGAACGTCAACTTTTGTACAGAAATGCCGTATTTCTCTTGTAAATATGATGAAGTGTTAGAATTGTGGTTGAAATTGGATCGAAGGCTTTGAGCCCGTTCGATCATCTGGCTCATCTGTCAAAACACCAATTTTTTTAACATGTTTGGGGGTAAAGATCGTCCAGGTTAGTAGAGTCCTGAGAAGGACTGTTGGTATTGATGTAGACTGACGTTTTGACAACCTTAGCGGTAGTTATCTTCAGAGTCAAGTGAAGATGACTACTGCTAAGGTTGTCGAAACGTCAGTCAACAACAACAAAAACAGTCCTTCTCAGGACTCTACCTGGACGATCTACATCTACAAACATGTAACGATACTCCCGGGTTCAAACCATTAAATTTACCAAAACTTTTATTCGTGTTTTGGACAATTTTGTCATATAAGGATTTTCCCAAAAGCACTCTTGTGAAACGATATATGTGGAATGTCATAAGAGCTTTGAACGTCAAACATAAAAAATCTGTATTTTCAGAAAATATATTATTTCACCTCATTGGTGTATGAATAAGCGATCAAAAACCAACTTTGACAATGCTATAACGGTCAACTTGACTGATCACTCTTCGGTCGTTATTTTGAGTCTCGTTCTCTCATGCGCAGTACAGACAAAAATAATCTTTATTGCTATAATAACACGACTTTATAGTTCATACCTGCGAAATTGCATCCGTTAAAGTGATTTCAAAGCCAGGCGTTCTCAACGGATGACACTTGTAATGCTCTACAAGACTATACAAATTTAAAAAACTATCGTTCTCTCCAAGAGAATACGTCACTTCCCCGTTCACTTTTCTTTCCTTTATACGACAATGTTGGGCGATACCGTTACGCCTAAACAGAGATAACGTTCATAAATTTCCAAGGCTTTAAAACCGTTACCAAAGGTCCACGCGATGCAAAGGCGGTAAATCAGGGAAGGATTTAGGAGGGGGGTGCAGCCTTGGCTAGATGGAGTTCATGAGAGGTGAACGTTCCAACAAAATACCCATGTACCAAACAATCAAACAAAGGTGATCCCCCATTGATGGTCTTTCCTTATCGATAGACATTTGGATAGACTAGTCCAACATACGCAAAGGTCATAAAGACTAACTTTTATATTTATCTATTTAAAGTCTTTCCACCATCCTCATTGATCCCCTTACTCCCATTTCTCCCCTCCTAACCCAAACCAAACCTCCTCATTGATCCCCTTACTTCCATTTTCCCCCTCCTAACCCAAAACCTACCCTCCTTATTGATCCCCTTACTCCCATCTCTCCCCTCCTAACCCAAACCAACCCTACTCAATGATCCCCTTACTCCCATCTCTCCCAAACCAACCCTCCTCATTGACCCCTTACTCCCATCTCTTCCCTCCCAACCCAAACCAACACCTCAGATTCTATGCCGATACTAAGTGACTCGACCAACAAGGAATCCAAAATGTCCTAGCAAAAACACTAAGTCACTTTTTCTCCTTTAAATGCTTCAAAATCTATCTTCAATAGACAAGTATAAAACAACTGCTGACCAGAAAGTGATGCTGTAGCCACCAGCAGACGACTCTCGAACAAGAAACGAACCGTTTCCTCTGTTGTAACTTTGAAGTAACTTTGTTGCAGCGACGCCATCGATGCCGTGATGAAACCAACTGAAGATAGAAAACCATGTGAGAGATGAAATCAAGTGATTAGTCGCAGTGACTAGTACAAAACCATGTGAGCGATGAAATCAAGTTATTAGCAGCAGTGATTAGTAAATGGCTACAAATTTGCATCCTTAGGTCTCAATATTGAGGAGAAAATTTAGACGATTAAAAAAACTTCAGATGAAATATCTGAACAACAAAGCTTGCAGTCGAAAATCCTTCAAAAACTTGAAGTACAGTTTAAAGCATTTTCCCATTAAAATAACGAGCACTTTCTTGCAACATATTTTTCAACATTGTCGTAAAGGCTACGGTTGCACAAAACACGGATAGCGTAATCCATTGGATAGTAAATTATTTAAACTTTTTAAAAAGGTGTTTATATTTTCCTTACGATAATCAATCAAACTTCGCAATTCTAGTACCAATATTGTATTTTATTGATTGCCTAGGTTAAATCGTGATGTTTTCTTTCCAAGAGATTTTTAAAGCACTCAAAAATATTACAACGCAGTGGATAGTGGTACAGTCGGTTTTCTTGCAACCTGTACCAGAACGGTTGGTAAAGGCAAAGAAAATTTCAAAACAGAGAATTCCAGCTGAGTTTAAAAATCTCCTGTGAACAATTATGAACAAACGTTCGCAAATCGCTGTTGGTTGCATGTAAATTCCTCAAATCGCTGTTGGTTGCATGTAAATTCCTCAATTGTATTGTGAAACAATTTAAGCGAGGTACAAAATAAATTAGCCGCGAGTAATGCTTTGAAAAATTTCCTCGCAGCATTGCAGCCCTCAATGTTACACCTGAAACCGCTCAACGTCGACGATAATCATAAACAATAAAGGCAACAAAACATTATTTCCTGTCATGAACAACTTCGCTTTGAATTCATCGTTTTCAACCGTGTATAACAAAAAAAAACTTACGGTTCTGAAAAGTGCAGTTCTTCGTTCGTGTTCTTAAACAAGAAAAATAAAACATCAACTCAGATTTCAATAACAGCGTTCGGTTCGTTAAAAAGTCGATGATGCGTACACATTTAAATACTTCATTTAGGCCAACTGTAAATATTTCAGCATTTTATTGAGAATAATACCTCGTCGACAGACTGGTCTTCATTGAAACTATCATCATCGTCACGTGACTCGGTTTGCTCCTCGGTCCAGTCCAATCTGTTGTTACTCAAGACGAAAAAATGTGGTCGCCAAACCTACAGAGAAATAAAACAAAGAACACCGTGAAATGGCGCGAGAACAAACAGAGAGAAGAAAAAAAATTGAAAGGAATCTCGTATGAATTGGTTTGCCTAAAAAGATTTTTGAAACGATTTTTACCATCCAGTGGAAAATGCTAAACAGCCTTCCTGCAATTGGGGTTGACGACACCAGTCCACTACAACAGTCCGTACTTGCTTAACATTATGAAATTCAACTATCCATTATATTTTTGCAGTGAATGAACTAGCATTTAGGGAGCAAATTATTAATCGAAAGACATTACAAATACTGCCTTTTGACAATTGGAATCAAGCAAAGCTTCATACATTAATTTCATTTCTCAATTAACTCTCATTTAATTTTTGTTTTTGTCTCGCGAGACGAAAATCCGTTGACTTCATGACAAATAAAAACATTTTTTATGAAACCTACACATCACAAGCTACGGTCGAAATAATCACTTGTTGGCTTGTTTTCCACGCTTTACATGTAAGCGATTACGACAGTTCTTTATAGAACTACTGAGGTCAGAGTGGCAAATTCGCTCTTCTAAGCAGTATTCAAGTCTTCATTATTATAATTTCTAAACAAATAGACTTTATTCCTAGGCTACTAATTTGCCCTGTAGCTTGAAGATCATTTGACAAGATTAGTTATTGAAAAGTCCTTCATAAAAGCACATGTGAATTTCTTCTCGCATTTTATCTTTGTCAGCGGTTGCCCGGTTCAATCAAGTCAGCAATACAACAACACCCACCTTGTCATATTCGTCCTCAAGGTACAAAATACCATCCATCGCAACATCATTTAGAACATCCTCCGTACCTGAAACGACATCTCGGGGATGAAAACTAAATGCGAACAAGATACGGCAATGAAACTGTTTATGACACTAAAGTAAAAAATCACTAATTTTTAGGCTATCTTTTACGACGCTCGAAACAAACAAAGATATAAACAAGATTCAGTACACATAACTAAGTTTCTTGTCATGCAAAGGGAATTTCAGAGATAAACAAAAAAATTTCAACTTTTCTTGAGTGAACACAAGACAGTAGAGCAAAATGTACGTAGATGGACATTACGCAATGAAGCATATTAGCAAAGACATATTTTACCCAGACCTCCAATTTATCTTGAGTGAACACAAGACAATAGAGCAAAATATACGTAGATGGACATCACGCAATGAAGCATATTAGCAAAGACATATTGTACCCAGACCTCTAATTTATCTTGAGTGAACACAAGACAATAGAGCAAAATATACGTAGATGGACATTACGCAATGAAGCATATTAGCAGAGACATATTGTACCTAGACCTCCAATTTATCTTGAGTGAACACAAGACAATAGAGCAAAATATACGTAGATAGGCATTGTGCAATGAAGCATATTAGCAAAGACATATTGTACCCAGACCTCCAACTTATCTTGAGTGAGCACAAGACAATAGAGCAAAATATACGTAGATGGACATCACGCAATGAAGCATATTAGCAAAGACATATTGTACCCAGACCTCCAATTTATCTTGAGTGAACACAAGACAATTGAGCAAAATATACGTAGATGGACATCACGCAATGAAGCATATTAGCAAAGACATATTGTACCCAGACCTCCAATTTATCTTGAGTGAACACAAGACAATAGAGCAAAATATACGTAGATGGACATCACGCAATGAAGCATATTAGCAAAGACATATTGTACCCAGACCTCCAATTTATCTTGAGTGAACACAAGACAATAGAGCAAAATATACGTAGATGGACATTACGCAATGAAGCATATTAGCAGAGACATATTGTACCTAGACCTCCAATTTATCTTGAGTGAACACAAGACAATAGAGCAAAATATACGTAGATAGGCATTGTGCAATGAAGCATATTAGCAAAGACATATTGTACCCAGACCTCCAATTTATCTTGAGTGAACACAAGACAATAGAGCAAAATATACGTAGATGGACATCACGCAATGAAGCATATTAGCAAAGACATATTGTACCCAGACCTCCAATTTATCTTGAGTGAACACAAGAAAATAGAGCAAAATATACGTAGATGGACATTACGCAATGAAGCATATTAGCAGAGACATATTGTACCCAGACCTCCAATTTACTTGAGTGAACACAAGACAATAGAGCAAAATATACGTAGATGGACATCACGCAATGAAGCATATTAGCAGAGACATATTGTACCCAGACCTCCAATTTATCTTGAGTGAACACATGACAATAAAGCACAATGTACGTAGATGGACATTACGCAATGAAGCAGATTAGCAGAGACATATTCTACCCAGACCTCCAACTTATCTTGAGTGAACACAAGACAATAAAGCAAAATGTACGTAGATGACCATTACGCAATGAAGCAGATTAGCAGAGACATATTGTACCCAGACCTCCAACTTATCTTGAGTGAACACAAGACAATAAAGCAAAATGTACGTAGATGGACATTATGCAATGAAGCAGATAAGCAAAGACATATTGTACCCAGACCTCCAACTTATCTTGAGTGAACACAAGGCAATAGAGCATATTGTACGTAGATGGACATTACGCAATGAAGCATATTAGCAAAGACATATTGTACCCAGACCTCCAACTTATCTTGAGTGAACACAAGACAATAGAGCATATTGTACGTAGATGGACATTACGCAATGAAGCAGATTAGCAAAGACATATTGTACCCAGACCTCCAACTTATCTTGAGTGAACACAAGACAATAGAGCATATTGTACATATTGTCATGCTATGCAAATTTCAGATCATTATGATTATTCACTTCTTTAGAAAAATTGTTTTTAAAGTGAATGAATACCAAAATATTTACATATCATAAAAAAAAACAGGCAGGCTGGCTATTTCACTGTGTTGAACCATTGTTAAATCACAGTATAGGGAAATATACAGTAGTTTCATTTTGTTGCGTAACTTGCTGTGGTGTGTTTTATTGCATGACTGGCTGCCGTTAGCTATCTCAGGATTGCTGTTGGTCAGAAAACGAAATTTACTGGCTGTCACTATGGTAATCACATGCTTGATATAAAAATTCAACGGAATGGCCCGACAATATATTCTCTATACTGTGGGTAAATCAACTGCCTTCGCCAACGTAGTGTCTATTGCAATCCAAAAACTTTGATACCCTCCCACCCCACCCCTTAAACCAGCAAGAAACATATTGACACAGCATGAGCAAAAATTTTCGATATTTTTTGTAAGAAATACTCCTACCTTTAGTGTCATTTGGGTCAGCGGCAAGTTTTTTGTACTGAAAAAAAAACACAGCAAATGTCATTATGGCATGTGATAGCATGGAATGATAAAAGTACGCTGGAGTTTTATCGATAAAATTTGGATAATCCTATGTAAAATCTGTTCAAAAAAAAATCAGTCGAGCAGAGCAGAATATCGCCATGTAACTACCTTTCATGCCTAGGTCATTTATAGGAGTATTGAAAAAATAGAGAAAAGAATTAATGTAATTTCAAGAACCGTCGAACTTTTTATTGAAAATCGTGTACGTAGTAAATATTCATCGAGTCCTCATTTGATTGGTCAAATGACTTCAGCAATATCATTTGATTGGTCAAATGACTTCAGCAATATCATTTGATTGGTCAAATGACTTCAGCAATATCATTTGATTGGTCAAATGACTTCCGCAATACCATTTGATTGGTCAAACAGAAAAGTAGTTTTGATGATTTGTATGGTCATTTGATTCTGAAGATGACGACCGCGAAGGTTGTCGAAACTTCAGTCAACAACAACAAAAACAGTCCTTCTCAGGACTATACCAACCTGGACGATCTACATTTACAAACATGTAACGATACTCCCGGGTTCAAACCATTTATATTGTTAAAAGATGATTTGGGCAAAAAAGTTAAAGCGAGGATGAATATTCACCCTCCAATTAGCGTTCAATTTTTACAACAACCCAAGGATAACATGAGCCCTTATGAGTCGGGAAAATCCTAAACTATTGAGAGAAGTTAAAAACCAACCTTGATAATGATTTTACGTTGAAGTTGTTCTGGAGAAGGTAGCCTGTCTTCGTTAGGATTGACCGGACCCGTGAGGAGGTAATCTAAACACAAAAATAATGGATGCCATTGTAGGAAATTGATTTAAACTCTTGTTACGTGCGTGTCCTAAAAACGAACCTCCAAAAACATCACGAAAATCTTGCGCCATCACGCGTTGCTGCGGGATACTGCAATGGTTCTCAATCGACAAAATAAGCGGATAACTAGAAAAAACGACAAAATGACCGGATATCTAACAAAGGCGACAAAATAAGCGACTATATGAAACAATCAACCGAATCGACAAAAACATTACGCACATCTAAATCTCAATATTTTTCGTAGTCAGCCAAATTCATTAGACATTAAACTTCTCTTACCTGCTGGCGGTGAAGGCGTACTCCTTGATCGCTTTAATGACGTCGAGAAATTTGATTTTCGATGTGATGGTCTTCCCGTGATAAATAACTGGATGGTTGTCAGGACCGTCCCAACAATCAACTGGAAATAAAGAAATTGACTGTGAGGTAATGCTTATGGTTTCCAAAAGAGATCGTAGAGACTCTAACACCTAACCCTTCAGAACAAAAGGATTAATGATTATTGTTACATTGACTGCAAAGTAACCATCAGAAATCAAGGTTTTCCCATCAAAATCCCCAAATGTGAAACTTGAAATTGCAAAAAGGTTTTACTTCAGTGGAGGAAAACTTTATCATGAATTACCTCTACAGTTTCGTAAATCGGATACTTTGCGACTTTTTATTGAAGAACTGAGTAAGCATTTAGCTACTACTTTGTGAAAACAGATGAAAATAGATGAATTTCTTATACTTTTATTCTTAAATTTAATAAATCTTATGCATAGTTAGACTTAAGTTTTCAGGTTAGATTTCTAGTAACAGAACAACTCTGTTTTTAACAGTTTGTGATTTTCACATAACTGATAGAGTTTTATCCTGCATATAAATTTGTTTATAATAATAATAATAATAATGATGATGAATTTTAAAACACAGTTCTAGTTTCTTTTATATCTTAATATCATAGATAATAACATCACATTGTTGTGATGTACTCAGGTATAGTAACAAGATAATCATTGTCTCCAATGTTCTACCAAATAAACTACAAGATCAACTTTGGACTATGATGATATTTCAAAACACAATTTAATTTGTTTCAAATCTTAACATCATAGATAATAATATCACGTTGTTGTGATGTACTTAAGTATGTATAGCAACAAGATAAAATAACCGACACCAGAAAGTTAACTCAAACTTTCAAACTATATGACATTAAGTGCAATATTTTTCCTCACAGCTAAGCAAGAACGCATTGATAGATGACAAAGAACCCCCCTGAATTACTATAAATTCTAAACAAATCAGGAAGTGAATACTGTCAATACGAACAGTATAGGAACGACACTAATATGCATATTCTTTTACTTACGTTCAACGCAACGACATCCCATTCGCAGGCATCGTACATAAGCCTCGACCGATGATTCGCTCAATAGTTGGTTTCCCGTTAAATATCTGTGGAAGAACAGAGAAAAAAGGTTCAATAAAATCATTGCAATGGTAGAAGCAAAGAAATCATCTGGAACACGCGCCAAAAAATCTATAAAACCCTATCGTATGAGTTGCGTTACGTAATAATCTTTATAAAATTTTGAAAACGAAGAAAAAGAGAGGAACTAGTTGTGACATAGAAAATAACTATATTGGGCTTGATACTCCGGTGCAGATGATTGGCTAAAATACGAAGGTAAGATTGCCGTATATGATAGTGGGCTAGATACGCCGGTGCAGCTGATTGGCTTTATGTTTTCATACGGGAACTTCCGTGCAATCCGATGCGTATTCATTACAGGTTTTGTTTCGTTTATTGACTTATGTGATCATATTTATTTATAGGAAGAATTTATGGTTGACAGTTTGACTGTTGCTACAATATTCACGCCGTCGTATTTTATGCTGTACTTATGTACTTAAATCAAACATATTACAGCGGCCATATTCGGTGTCCCTTAAAATGGCTAGCCAAGCGCGCAAAGCATGACCCTGATACTCATTCTTTAAATATTTCTCACGTGGAGTACACGCAAAAGGTGCCATCAGTCTTCTTCCTTACTTACGTGTTGTGAGAGGAGGCAATCCAGTAACGACTCAAGGGTTGTTTCATATCTTGGTAAACTACACTATGTTCTTCATTGAAAACGCTGTTCGTCTTCGAGTATATGTAATCTGTAAACTGAGGGAAAAAAGTGTGAGGAATTATATGAGTTAAAACACAAGGAAACTGGGTGCTAGTTGGTTACTGAAGCAACTGAACTGCCTGGATAGCGCTTTCTACTGGAAAGCGTATCTTTGATAGTCTTTGCATCAGACCATAAACGTGGTATATGGTCTGCGCAATAATATCAAATTTATCGTCCAATCCTGTCCCACAATACTGAAAAAATGAACTTGTAATACAGGGTAATTATTCATGATATAATTAAAATTAATCAAAATGGCAGTTTTGCAGGGAATCCAGAGTGTGGTAACAAGCAACGTCAAAGCAAAATGAACGGTTGTAAACTTTGTTTTTGTTGAGAAATTATACATAAATTTACTCAGTAATTCGAGATGCACGGAGCACATTCCACTATAATGGTCCGGTACACAGGTTCTATTTTCGATTGTTTAAAACATTTCTTAAAAGCTGAGACATTAATAGATTGAAAATGAACGACGAATTATATGAAACGTTAGTCAAAAGATGAAAAAGTTTAAATTTTGTGAACGGGTGGAAACAAACTTCTTCATGCATGTGAAAAGTCGCTATCTGATGGACAGCGGTATTTCAGCATCGTGCAAGCATCTCCTGGATTTTAATCGAAAAAAACTTAAGTTGAACGATGGAGAAAATCAGATGAATGACGTAATGCACGGTTATTGGGGATCATACGCGGGCAGTAAAGAACAAACAAACCTCAACGAGGGATAAATATGGATCAGGATGTCGGTACTCCCCCAAATATTTGTGTAGATGTTCTTTTAATGCTTCCACTTTCGATGCAAATTTTTCCTGAAATGAATTTCACTGAAGTTTTATTGTGTAAACATGGATACGCGATCGACTCGCTACCCTCACGGTAGTACCCTGCCTCTGCAGAAAACATCAACAACCCCCCTGGATAGTCTTTATTTAAAATCATTTGTCCTGCATTTTGAATATATTCAGGGGGGTGTCTCTGTTTTATGCATTGCAATTTTCAAATTAAAAAGCTTGACAAACATGATCAGAGATCACTCTGAAAGAAAAAGCAATTTTCGTTTGATTTTTGACGCTTCGAAACTTCGGATGGCGTAGCAGCAATGAAAAAAAAACACGAGAAATGGTTTTCTACCTTCTGGTCAATAGCGAGAAAAGTTCTCAGCTCACGAAGTAGAACATTCTTCCTAATAAAAAAACACACAAAATTATTGACGTTTATAAAAAAACAAAATGAAACGAATGCGGTGATTGGTGTACAACCGTGTTTGCATTAGCCAGTGAAAACCGATCTGAGCACAAACCAATCAAATCAATCAATAAAATTTTCAAATAAATCATGAATACATGTTAGAGGAAATATTAAAATATTTGTTTTAAATTTGTTTGTTTCACATTTTTGCTTTTTTATAAAAGAAATAAAAGATGTTTTTCGTGTTTGTATGGTTTATTCAAACCTCGGAGACGTTTATGAGAACTCTCGAGCAGGTGCAAACCTTCGCTCTAGAGTTCTCCCAAAGGTCTCCTCAGTTTGCATAAGCCTGTGCAAACACAGTAAACATCTTTAATTTCTTAACTAAAGTGTCAGTGACGCATAACTTAAAAAAAGATCTTCTAAAATTGTAATGGACTTTTATGATTGCCTGTCTAGTTCTTGAGTTATTGAAGATATTGGCGTACTTTTAAAATAGCGCGCCACAAAGACCTCCAACAATAATCAGACTATGCATGATTAGGAATAAGGTTCGTGCTCCGGTCGGGCATGCAGATATATAAGTATTTAGCAGGATATATAAGTATTTGGCAGGATGTTCTGCAATTATCCCAAGCTTTTGCCAAATGGAAACTGAACAGGGAGTTAAAAAAAGAACTGCTCGAAGATAAAAAATAATTCAATATGGTACCGTTTGGATAAGTGCTGAAACAATTGATACAATTCACATCATACAAAAATAAATTAGCCCCAATCCACGTCCAGTCGAAAATTTTTAAAAAACATAAAAAGAAAGAAGATTCCGCAGAATATGGCCATCTTGAAATTCGATATTTGACGTAAAATTGGGAGTTGATTTTTGATTTTATTTCAATACTTTCGGCAGACGCAATCAGACATAAGTTTGTGCTTGAGGAGACTTTGAAATAAAGTCGAAAATCAACCCTCAATACTACGTCTCTTGTTTTAATTCAAATATTTGATTTCAAGATGGCCATATTCTTCGGAATCTGTTTATTTTTACGAAAAGAACAGCATATCTAATAAAAGGAGGAGAATTCTAATGTTGCTTTTGTTAAACCTTTGCATCGTTTAGACAAGCTGTCTTCTACGTTAATTGATCAATGTTTGCCAAAAATGAAAATCAACAATATCCAATTAATAGACAAAGCTTGAGAGCAGGTTTTTTTTTGACTGCTCGTCTAGATAATTTGTGGACGCTTATTTACTGATTTACAAACATTAAAATCATGATTGTTTCGCTTTAGGCTGCGCATCTGCCCGTGTTTTGTCCAGAAGTTTTGATTGTGATTGACATTAATCACAAAAATGATTAAGCGTAAATTTGTTTGATGCTTGCGATAACAAATCAAACTAGAGGAAGCGTAAATTAAAAATGGGAAGCGAATGAACGAAAATGATTTAATTTCCATTTAACGATAATTTTAATAGCTCGGGAAGTAAACATTTCAAAAGATAAATGTAACAAAGAAACTCAATCATAGTTTCGGAAGATCTTTCATCGACAAAAATAAAAATCGCGCTTCATGAAGGAACTTCGAATTTGCGAGAAATACAATATTATGTAAACGGTTTTATCCTACCTGTCTTTTGATAGCGTGTAGAAATATTTCGTCACCTACACGAAAAAGAAAAAATACAAAAAACAAACAACGGAATTTCACAATAGACGCGGGCATTTAAAGACGAACCTCTTGGGGGTTCATCAAGTTGTCGTAAAACGCTTTAAATCCTTTGAAATCAATGACGGCATTGTTGTTAACGTCAATTTTCTACAAAGAGAAAAATTTTAACGACGCTTTAATAAAAAGGCGTTTTCAAGTTGATTTTCCAGCTAAGTGCCTACGCTAAGTAGGAAGCTCGAAGATTTGAAGTCTAAAATGTTGTAGAAATATATCAATTTAGAAAGGTCGTAAATATTTTTGCAATAATTTAACCACAAAAAAACTATCCCAGTTATTTCAATTTATTTTCCAAAATTCGAACTATAAAATTTATATGCTGTACATTAAACATTAAACTACTAATTTTAGAAACAATCGCAAACAGGACAACTAACTCTTTACTCAAACAACGTATAAGCTTTGTTACAAAAAAAAAATTTTCACGATTGAGTGTTGTGTACAAAAGCATGTGGTAAACTTAATTATGTCTTAGCCAGTGTACATCTTGCATTAGATGGTAAGTGCAGTCTTTGAAAATCCGCAAGGAATGTTTGTCAACATCTTAGAGTTCCTCTACTGCATCTGAGTTAATGCACTTTCTGATTGGCTAAAGATGAGGTAATTGTTTCGATTGTCTCACATTGGTTAAAACTTCTAACTGGTTAAGCTGTAGCCGTAACCATACATACCATATAGCACAGGCTGTACTACCTGGCAGATACATTGGTTAGCAGTTACATGTATGAAAAAATTAGAAGAAAGATTCAAACAGTACCTAATCATTAGCCAATTGCATGCAAGTAGAGAAAATGCAATTTAATTACCATGCACAACACAATGTTCACAAGCAAATACTTGATGTAAATAATTTCAAAATTAAACCTTGAGTTGGGAAATAATCAGGGATGAATGCAAGATGATTTTGTAGGGGGGGTGTTCTAATTTTTATAAGATGCTGTTTGGTTAGTCTAGTTTGGCTGAGATTTTGGTGGTGCTTTTGTTGATGTTGTCCACATGTCAGAATTTTTGTGTGTTTGACTTGAGATCCTGGGGCATGTGTATTTTAAGATGGCTGTTTGAGCTTAATTGATTTCTATGTTTATATTTTGTAGGGAAAACCTAAATTCATCCATAAAAGTAAATGAATTAAATGTCTGTTTATCTATCAGAAAAAAATGAAAACAAAATAAAGAAACAGAAGTCCTGACCTTAAAATTCGTGTTCATTTCCGGGACACTCATCTTTATGTTACAACGCAACAAAAATTGCTTCAACTCTTTCATCGTGATCCTGGAAGTTTGAAATTTAGTTAATAAATTTGAAGAAGTCGGCTGGTGAAATGCTGTAAAATAGAGATACTGCTAACAGTAAAGATCACACAGCAAAGCTTCAGCTAGTAAAGTTAAATGTGCTATTAACATGTCGCATTCCACTTGTGCAAACATGTTGTAAACCCCCCCTGCATGCATATCTCTTCATACTCTCTTACCCATGTTGATTATTAGTTAGCAACAGGTTCCATTCGACTTGTATGAAAGTGTTGTAAAGGTCAACCCCCCTGCATGCATATCTCTTCATATTCTCTTACCCATGTTGATTACTATTTAGCAACATGTTCCATTCGACTTGTAGCCACCTGGAAACGAGCAAAAATGAGCAAATTACAAAAAAATTCCAAACATCCCAAAGACATCACCGACTTCAATTTCTCACCTACTGAGAATTTTCGGATGTGTCACCTTCATATTCAACAAATATGTCAAACCTTCAACCCAATAATTACATTCCTGTGACGTGGAAGCTACAAAACCAATATACAGTAGTTAAATATTGCCGGTGGCACACATCCAGCCTTGCTATGAAAAATTTGCTATGTTCACTTGGCATAAAGACAATACATTACTAAAGAAATGTATATTAATAATGTACTCAAACTTGTATAGTAAGACTAAAACTTGAGAACCAGCAACAACATAGACTATAATTTAATGACAATATAAGCACTTTCTTACTACATACCAACGAAACTTAATGTTTTCAAATTAAACGCAGTGCCATAAAAAATCACCAAACAGCAGTTTTCTTCAATTTTCTTCAAATAATCTGCATTCTTCTCGAAGTCTTTGGACACATTGCTGTGACGAATGAACTTAAATTCGCGTATTTTCACTGCAATGATATATCAAGGCAAAACAGTCAGGTTGTTTAAGGCATGGTGCTTGAAAGAGAGGCATAAGTGTGATTTTTGTTCTTTGTCAACTGTCAATCCTGTCAAGCTTAAACAATTTCCGTAAGAATATCCATTTTGTACTAGGAAGACAAATTTTTAGTGAGTGCAAAGCATCAAAACAAATAAGTACAATTCTATTTATGTTATGAGGATCATAAACAAAAAAGAAATTGACTTTAATTTGCACAATTAACAAATCCAAGGCAACAGGCTTCCCGCTTTAAATGCTCACATTTTCCGTCAGAGGAAATGTCAACCTTTCAAAAGAAAAACTTGACTAAAATACGATTTCTCGAGTTTTATTCACACTCTACACTTGAACGAGGGAATAAAACGATCAAAACTACAAAACAAACACACAAAGGAAACTATCACGATACATATATGGCGTTCATTGACATTTTAGTCGATTTACGTAAGGAAAAAAAGTAAATCTTGTTAAACATAAGTGAACACGATGAGCTTTGACAATTGGCATGCGAATCGCCAATACAAAACGACAATCGTAAGTAATTACAAAATTCAGCTGGTTCTTTACAGATTTATCGACCAACAAGACAAAATAGAACACTTCTCGTTCTGTCGACGAGTTAAAAGCATAATATGAATACCTGAGCCTTCAACTTTGTGATCGTGACGCCGCCAATAGAACAGCATTCGTTCTACGTTGACGAAGTATATTCGGTTTTCTGGTTTTTTTTTACTGGCGGAGGAGAACCTTGTCATGGGCATGCCACCTTCGAGTATTGCCACAATTCGTTCAATATCGAGGGAGCTGCTTGATTCACGATGCCTCAGATATCTCCTGTCCAAGCTACCTGTTGAATGTCTACTCATTTTGAGATTTGCCGATTTCTCCCGATAAGGGAACAAAAAGTCAGCTTCGAGGCGATCTCTGTAGACTTGCAGTCGATTTTTAAGACATAGGATTCGGTGTTTTCTCCCTGTGAGGCGATGTACTTCCTGGATGATAGTGATAATAAATAGTTGCCTTTCGTGAGTGAGGTCTTGAACTAACACAGCAGGGATGTCGTTTATTTACATTTTGCTTGATTGACTTTCATTGGTCGTAGGAAGGTTATTAAAATTGGATTTCGTCCATGGTAACTGCAGGTAGTTAATAAACTGTGATTATTGTTCGGTAAATAACAGTACAGGTATATTTCATATTTCATCGACAAACATGATGAATTTCCTGTCTTCTGCTCCCCCCCGGTAAAATTACACTATTTATGAATGGCGTGCTCTGTGGTTATTGAGATTATTTGTTCTTGTTTCATTTTCACGGGGGGTTTATTAAAAGCCAGCCCGGTTGATTTTCATTCCGCTTTTAACTGGAATGGATGCTTCGTCCAAGTTAACTCAGGAAATTCTCTTTCAAACACAACTGTCTTGATATGTAAATTTGATTTTCAACAACCGGTTGTTAGATTTCACAACGCAGTTGAACCGAATATTTTTATCCACCTGCAGCTTCAACAACTCGGCAATTTCGCAATAATCTTTGGCTAACTGGCGAGAAAATTGTAATTTGTGAACCACCGGATGACGAATGTGATATAAAATGGGGAAAAATCACGTAAAAATCGAGTTAAAAAGGACAATACAAGTTGATACATAAATGATTTGTCAGCATGTGGTTAATGAAGCATTTGATTTTTCGTGAAAAGCGACGCGGAAAGATGCACTGACACGGAAGTGAGGCAAGGATGGAGAGGTGATAATATTTTCAACCTCACTCACATTTCCCGTAAAATCACCTTATAACTATTCCAAGACTGTATTTTCACTCTATTGATTGGAAATATTTCAGCACTGAAAGATCTTGCATTGGAAATCGACGGAGAAATTACTTTGCTATTGATTGGGGGAGGGGAGGGCGATTTCTGTGTCGCACTTATTTGAAAGAAGTTAGTAAAATTATTTATTTGCTATTTTGGGCTTTACGGCTTTGCTTAAAAAAAATAGGAGCATTATCACAGCCCAACACCTTGAAACATTTTTGAATTTCACAAAGATAAACATATTGCTGATAAGGTATTTATTTTTATAATTAACGGCTTTGATTTATTTTGTCTAAATTTAGATTTGTACAAGGAACAGCTCATAAGATAGTTGAATTTCCAAAGCAATTACCTCTCAATGCCATTCATTAGTAAAAAAGTAAAAGAAATTCCAGACTCCTCTTCGTGTTTCGCTGAGACGTGTGGGCGCAGGTGAATCGAGTCAGCGGTAACCATGCAGAAAAATATTTATACCCGACCCACGGCCGTAATCAAACGAGTCCTCGCCAAAATAAGGACCAAAATAAGCAAAAATCATTTCTCGTTGTGTTAAGAAAATTTTTTTATAAGTTTGCTCACTCTGATATTTAACACCCCCAAAAAGCCATTTTCATTATCATACGCCTCATAAACAAACATAACCAAAACGTGACCAGTTGATTACGTATTTAAACGCCTGCGCAGAAGAATGAGCAATAGTAGATGCTCTTCCCTTTAGTCCTAGATATGGATACCACGAAAAGATCATTCTGGGTTCGAGTGTGATAATAAACTGCTAGAAGTAATCTGAGAGGCTGTTAAAACTCTTCTTTTTACGGTTCAAACGAAAATTCTAGACCACTTTGGTCTTAGTTTACACCCACAAGAAAACAGTGCCAAAATTCTATGTTTCAAAGACAGTTTAATGATTGAGGAACAGCATGAATGTTCGAGCAATAATTGAAGTCACAGCGTCCATTGTATTTTGAGAGGAAAAAAATAAAAAGCGTTTAGGCAGGAAAGATAGAAACGAAGTCATTTGCTGCAATATCTTAGGATCTACTTCCTTGTCTCTATGTCTTATAAAGGCAAACGATTAGGCGAAGCCACTATCATTTGCGTTCAACTGGTCAGCGGCAAGAATTACTGCACTTTCTCAACGTGTCAAACGTCACGCTTGTCAAATAAAAGTGCACGTTTTAACTGACAAACGCAATGTTTGTTCAAACTTGAAACAAGTGCCATTGCTAAGTTTGAGTGATTGCTTTCTTATGATTTCAAGTCGAAGATCAATTTTTGCAACTCCCTTAGTTCATGCACACGTAATTCTCAATTTCTACAGCATTTTATCCAAGTACAATGGAATAAACATGTCAAACACATGACAAAAACCTGTCAATAAAGATGTTTAAATATTCCTGAGCAAACGGAGGGTTTACCAGTTGAAAATTGCACTATCCGTTCGACGAAAACGTGACGTTGAAACGTTTGAAACGCAGAAAATTCGAAACCCTGACCAGTTGAAGACAAATGATGATAAATTATAATACATTATCAATATGCGTTCCGCACATTTCTTGTAAAATATCATATCGCTAGAAGGAAGAAAAGTGAGTGCGACTAGATTACGCTGTGAAAGAGAATTTTCTCTCAGAAATTTCGGGGAATGAAGCCATACATTGAGCGGTGTTGGGAAGAATTACACATCCGTTGACGTTGAATGGTGTAGGTGTTGTCTTGAAGCATTGTTCCTAGAAACAATTATAGAAATGAAACAAAACTTCAACTTTTCTTGTAAATAAGAGATGAGCAAAAGGACAACAAAGATATCATTATTTAACCGCTATGGATTGATGGAGATATAAAAGGACAAGAAGGATATAATTATGTAACCGCTATGGATTGATGGAGATAGAAAAGGACAATAAGGATATCATTATATAACCGCTATAGATTGATGGAGATAGAAAAGGACAACAAGGATATCATTATGTAACCGCTATGGATTGATGGAATAGAAAAGGACAAGAAGGATATCATTATGTAACCGCTATGGATTGATGGAGATAGAAAAGGACAACAAGGATATCATTATGTAACCGCAATGGATTGATGAAGATAGAAAGAGAAAACAAGGATATCATGATGCCAATTGAAAGGACAATAAGATAGAAATTTTCTAACTTACGAAGATCCGCGTTTCTGAATGAGTAATTGCAGTTCCTCTTGTTTTTCTCTCAGTTGAGCGTCCAAAGTTTGCATTTTATGGATGCCCGCCTCCACAGGTGGACCAAGACCATCATTACTAGCACATGTGATCTCCACAGCTTCTTCGTGCATCTGTGATGAAATCTCCGTATATGTACACAGAGTCTCTTCCTCTTCCTGAGGAAACACAATACTTTAGGTTACACGAAGTTCGACAATCATATGCAGTCAGGTTTGGGTAAAAATTGCGTTCTGTTACAATTAAAGGGCTGGTTACATGAGCCCAGGTAGCCGGGATTCAGCCAAGAGTTAAGTGATTTTGGCAGATGGAAACGATTCAATACTCGTCATCAAATAAATCTTCCCGAGAAATTTCACAATATTCTGATTTAATAACTACGCAAAACATTTAAAATTACAATAACCAGTTTGGCTTAATTTATGAATTTCAGCAGGAATGACTTGTGGCGCTTAACAAACAGTTGTAATTTTACGCATAAAGTTTTGTCTTTTTTCAATACCTCGAACTCATTTCACGCCTTACTGAGTCCCGGTTAGCCGGGAGCATGTAAACAGCCCCTAAACATAAATGATTGCTAACCCTTACACTTAATCTTATTACACTAGTCTATGGCCGACATTAGGAATGAATTTCGCGTATCGTAGAAGACACAACACATAATTCTTATCCTGGGGCCGGTTGTAAAAGGCTCTTGGGTACTTTTTAACTATATTGCAATTGAAAAGTAGTTCAATTTACCCAAGCAGTTGTATAAAATAGTAGTTAGCGCTAACTGCGGTTTAAATGTAGTTTAAGTTTACGTTCAAGTTTACTGTGTTTTAAGCTTTATCATCCTTCGTGAGTGAAGAAGCAGCAACAGATACGTTAAGTTGCTTATAAACGTATAAGTTTTGTCTGTATATTCTGTGAAACCCTGATATTGTAGACTATTTCTGTGCAGTGATTCCAGCCGTTGTGTGTATTTATATTTAGTTATAGCAACTGTTGTATCCAATGACCTAGAACCCAATCTACTAGAAAACTGACTCTGCCGAAATTGTATACGAATGAGTGAAGCAGGTCATCGTCTTAAAAGGCGACAAAACTGATGACATTTATGACTATCTGCTTTTGCTGAGTTGATATACAGTCGCAAAGTTGATAGTCTAGGTTTGATTCTTTAAATGTTTGATAGGATGGGATTTTAAACTTTGTTTTCCCTTCTTTTTCATTTTGAGTTTTGCTTTTTTCCACCTTTCAAGATGGCGTCCTTGCCTCACCTTGACACGGTTTTTAGACATCTAGAAGACTGGGTTCGAAATCATTGGTTGTATTTGTTGTGACTGTTTATTATGGCGAATCCAAAAAATAAATTAAATGTGAAACAAACACTCAAGAACAAATTATTGATAAAAATATTCTCACCCCAGCATAAGTGATGTCCAAGTGAATCAACAACGCGCATTGTTCATACTCTTCGCTGAAGGAATTCTTTAATGGAACGGATCTATAACCTTAAGAAAACATTGTTAATGAATATTTTATTGTATCATTGAACCCAACGGATAAATCAAAGATATCTTTTCACACTAATTAGCGTGATGAAACTACTGGCACAAAAATTATCTTGTTATTGTACCTTAGTACATCATAACAACGTGACATATTCTCTAGGATATTAAGATATGAAAGATTCTAGAACTGTGTTTTAAAATAACATCATAGTCCACAGTTGATCTTGTAGTTCAGTTCGTAAATATTGAAAACAATGATTATCTTGTTACTATACCTGAGTACATTACAACAACGTGATGTTATTATTTATGATATTAAGACATGAAAGAAACTAGAACCGTGTTTTAAAATAACATCATAGTCCACAGTTGATTTTGTAGTTCAATTGGTAGAACATTGGAGACAATGATTATCTTATTACTATACCTGAGAATATCACAACAACGTGATGTTATTATCTATGATAATAAAGTTATGAAAGAAACTAGAATTTGGGTCTCAAACATCCCTGGTTCAGACAAAAAGTTTTGTAAGATAGTTCGATAGCATTAAAAATCATGTTATCGTTGCAATCACTTCAATCATAAAACACAGTATACTAAAAGAATATTTACCGTTTTTAAGATTCGAAAGTGGATAAACAGCTTGGGCAATAAAGTTTGGATCCCCAAACATATCTTCATCGTAAACAGCAAACCTGATGTA